CCCTGGTTGATCCGGTCATCCAGTTGTATCTGGCGTAATTGCCGATATTAAAATGCCTCTCGAACCGTTTGGTTTTTTGAACCAAATTAAGCTGTGGTGTTGGTCGCCCTTTGGTAATTAACTCCAATTTATCCGTGTAACTCATTCTTGAAAAAGACTCGGTTAGTAGTTTCGCAACGATGTCATCACTATCACTAACGTGAGCCATCGTGAATGAACGTATGCTAATTCCGCCTAGCTTGACCCGTTGATATATCACATGCATAAACTTGGCAGCGCAGCGGGCGGAACTTGTCATAAAGTCCGCGATAATAAAGCCCTCCCATTTAGAGGGAAGATATGATTGGTCAATTGTTCTGTCACTTGACATTACTCTCTCGTTGTTTTACTATAGCGGGCCCTCTGTGAATCGCATAGAGGGCCAGACGAGCTTTTTTCATGTAACCCTTCACATTCAAACAGAAACTGAACAGGCAGATTCGAAGGATTTATTTCTTTGGAATTTTTATTTTAAATACAATTAAATCAAGTTTTTTCGGTAAAAATATAACAAAAATAATATTTAAGGGCGACTGTGGCTGCGAGGGAGTGCGGTCGTCTTTCAACCAGAAGGTTGTGGGTTCGATCCCAGCCCGTGCAGCCAACATGTCGATGTATCCTTGGGCAAGATACTTAACCCTGAGTTGCTCCCGATGGCATGGCCAACGGTGTGTGAATGTGTGTGAATGTTAGGTCCTAGAGTAACATACACTGCTCTGTATGAATGGGTGTGAATGGGTGAACGACATGTAGTATGTAAAGCGCTTTGAGGGGTCTTAAAGACTGGATAAAGCGCTATATAAGTACAGTCCATTTACCATTTACCATTTAAAAAATATATATTTAAAAAAAATAATATATTTTTTAAATGTTGTTTTTTAGAATATCTTAGGCCCTCACAGAGGGCCTAGAGGGCCCTGACGGCTCGCCACTGCCTTCGAGTGACAGGTCTGTACAGTGACTGCTAATCTTAGCTTTATGTCTCTCTGCTAGCTGCTAGCAGCTCCGTTAGCACTGTTTCTCCAGGATACTACAGGGGCTCTGCCTTCTAAGCTTATCCAGAGAACACAACTTGAACTCGGCCGTGTTTGTTGTGTGAGCCTTGTGGAGTATTGTGCAAATTACCGGACGGCTCTGCGGTTAAAACAGACCGTCCACAAATGTTGTATCTTCGGTAAGTCAAATTCGAGTACTTTATTCATATGTTTCTGGTGTTTCTATTCAGCTATTGTTAATTAATGTTTAGACGTGGGTTAGCATTTGAGCGAGTGGAAGCTACATCTGTGCTAACGATGATAATCGTAACATCCAAGTTAAAATGCATTAGATAAGTGTTACACATTAAAGTGGAATATATTAAACATATATTGTAGGGCCATACAAAACATGTCTGTGTGTTGCTTAAAATACCAAACAGTTCACCCATTGTAGCCATGCCTCATACTGCTCATACTCTTTTGCAGCCTTGTTAGAGAAATGCGGATTTTGGGTCCTTAGCTTGAAAAAAAAGAAAAGAAGAGGCGGAGCTAATGCCTGATCAGAATTCTACCGGAGATAAAGTTAAATTCTGCTGTGATAAAACCAAAACGCCATCCTGTTCTAAACCACATCAAAGATTATTTCTGAAACAGTACGGAGCTCAAATAAAATGCTTTTTCTCTTGCGGGTTTATCACAAGGTGAGTTCCTTTTTTTAGTTCCTGCTTTTTAAACACGTGCTCTCCAGTACAGGTTAGCTCTGAGTGTTAGCGAGGCTTGCTAATGTAAACAAAGACGAGATTACGTCCAAAACACGTCAGGCATTGTTTCTGATAGCAATTTTCTGTGGGAACAAACGGCTTTTCTGTGAGATTGGTAAAAATAAGGTCATAGGTAGAAGTTAGATATTTAGTTTGTTAGTAAGGTAACTTTATACATTTGCTAAGCTCGACTATGTAGACAAGCTAACGTCAAAGTAGTGTTCTTTTCATTAGTTTTTTCCTGTATTTATTTATTTATTCATATTGTTATTTATGCCTTTATTTATATATTTATTTATACAAATGTCATGCTCACGCACAGTGACGTCACGAGCTACCCACAATGCAACACGCGCCATATATATATATATATATATATATATATATATACGCCATTTTCCTGGAGGTGCAAATATCCTGGAAGTGCAAATATAAACAGCTAGCTAACGTAGCAAGACAGAGCCCACTAGGTTTTTTTTCTGAATTAACGACCGAAGAAATCGCTGCGTGTCTTCGGATTACATCTCTGGACTTGAGGGGTGTGCTCTAGGTCGTTACCAGCGTACACTAGAGCTGTGTGGGTTTTCGGATTGCCCTTACAGACTGCCTGCAGATGTATGGAAAAAAGACAGTGGCCTTCGTCGATGTTGGCTGCATCTACGTCTATCTTCTGGAAACACCAGGTGAATACCCCACTTGTCACAATAATATTATCATGCCAATGCATATATGTGGTATTTTAGAGTTGACTAGATATTGATTAAGGCAATAGACTATGATATTCAGTACAGGAAGCTTAGCAACACCTAGACGGTGTACGGCTGCTTGCACCTCGCGTAAAACGGCGGATACCGGAAGTACGGTGTCGCCCTCGGCCCAATACCCGTATGTGTGTGTGAAAGAATAGACAAGCAATAAACACACGGACCCATTGTGTTTTTGCCCAAGCGGCAAACTCTGGGGAACAGCCGGGAAGCCAATACGGAAGTGCCACACACTGCAGTTCATACATGTGCCGCTAGGGACTGGCTGCAGAAAGGAGCAATTTCCATAGACCCCCATGTTAAAATGCCCGATTTTACAGCAGAAAAAAACATGTTTCTACCCATGGATGCAATAAATATTATTATCGATATAGTTAGATTCCACCTTCATGATTATGAATCTGTGAGTGAATTGTTTTCTAACACGACCCTTTTATTTATATTAGGTCTTAACGTTTTTGCATAAATTAGGGCGTGGTCACGTTGATGGGCACGTACATGCCTCACTGTCAGCTAACAGCAACTTGTCCACTCTGCTAGGCTACAAACATAGAGGCTACAACGTTAGTTAGTCATAGTACTGTACTTGACCCTTTAGCCGTGTTCGTGGTGATTGTGCCTTTTAGGGAATATTGTTACAAATACCAGACAATTAAAATGTCGTGCTGTGCGCTTGAATGTACTAACAGAACTTCCAAGAAGTCTAAAATGATAATATTATACATGTTAACCCCGTTCGCAGGTGTTTGTGTGCTTGGTAGCTTAGCTTGTTACTTATTAGCCAGCTAAGGACGTAACCCTTTATGCATACATATACATTTTAGTTTATGATTCAGCCTTGGGTAAGACTTTTATAGTCTATGGCTATGACGCCCATAATGCTAAACGGGAGCAAATGTTAATAGGGGACCCAATTATCCCAGTGGTGGCCGCCGGAGCTAACGGAGCCGCAGGGGGCTAGCTCCAGCCGGCGTCCCGGAGCTAGCCCACTGCGGCTCCGTTAGGTCCGGGCGGTGGAGTCCGTCTTTTCTCAACGTGTGAATGACAAGCATTAAGAATAACAAAATATAGCTAATTCTCTTGCAGATTGTCTCATTTGATTATGAATGTAACGTTTATATAGGGGAACTACACTGTTAGCAGTAACTTGGTATGCATGTATTTCATGTTAGCTTAGCTTCTTAGCCTGAGCTAGCTCTGTTTACTTCCAGTTCGGAGGCAGCAGGTCCCGCCTCGGCTCCGCCTCTTTGCCCTTATTTGGAGCAGGCGGGAGTTGAACTCTGACGTCACAGTCGAGCCGTTAGTGGCCGACTCCGCCCACTAAGGGCTTCACGGCAACTCTGCAGAATCCTATGGGTGACGTCACGGACACTACGTCCATTTATATATACAGTCTATGGTTTTGCCATTACAAGCAATGCAGCAGTGTATTGCTAATGCGAGTATATTGTGTATGTCTGGTTATGCATTTCTAATTTAGGTACTTTCGGTAATTGTACTAATAACTACAGGCTATTATAATCCTACTTCAACTTTTATAACTTTTAAAGATTTAAAAGTACAACAGCCTCTAATTTATGGGGGTTATTCCCTATCTTTATTCAAGAGCGTGGTATTTAAATTTGAGAGCTACTTTATGTATTTATTTCCCTCAAACCCTGTCCTCGCACTCAAATAGTGCCTGCTTGCACTTAGATGTGCTCTGCTTGTGCTCAAACTGTACGCTTGCACTCAGATATATTGCTGTTTACAGATTTGTTCTGCTCTCAGATTTATTCTGTGCGCGCTCGAAACTTTTGTGCAACAATCCTGTCAAAATCCCTCAACCAATAGGAGGCCAAGTGTCCTTGCGGGTGCGTTCGCTTGATTTATTACAGCGTCCCGTAAGGGCGGTTACTCTTTGGTTTATAAACTCCCGCCCTCCACGGCTTTATAACATAGCATGTACTTCACTTCGCTGTACAACTTTTTTTGAGGACAAGGTTTGAGGACAGGGTTTGAGGGAAATAAATACATAAAGTATGCTCTCAAATTTAAATACCACGCTCTTGAATAAAGATAGGGAATAACCTCCATACTAACTGTCCATGCAACCACATCCTGCGTACATCCAACAACATGATTTAGCAGATCGCTCAATCATGTCCCGCCCCCGATTCTGATCGCTGATTCGCTGCTTTAACTGTCAATCTTGTTCAAGCGTCCGTTAACGGTTACGTCAAGCTGGCAACGACAAGAGCAAAGGTATGCAGTTAGTACTTCAAAACAAAAGCCTTGCATTTTTTTAATAGATTAAATCCAAATATATTTATACATAAATGGGTTTAAATTGCTCATAAAATACCAATTAAGTTACCATGTATATATAAATTGTAACTATAAATGAGAAATAGTCATTATTTTACAAGGCGTTTTAGGGAAGAATTTATTTTGAAATGTGTTGTTGTGACATGGTGGAAATACTTTTTAGCTAACAGTTAGCATGTATTTTTGGGGAAGTCCAGTAATGTTGCTGCCAAAATAGATCCGAAAGGAAAAGTTATTCAACCATACTGTGTGGAGGACAAGAGCCCGTACATCCTGTGACAGGTAAGACTATTAAACACGCTGCTATCTTTTTTGTGTGTGTAGCCTACGATGTTAAAATGCTAACGTATGTAAATATGGATATTTACATTATATGATGCGATACCAGAGGCTAACCATGTCTTTGCAAATAATACAATTTACATTCTGTATTCAATTCACTATTCTTTTCTCACCTGTACATTTTCTCAAGTATTTATTATTATTATTATAAGGGGTATTTCTTCTGTACTTTTTTATCAACAAAGGGGACTTCCTGGTTGTCGTTATTTGCAGTGTTGGAAATGTAAATGTATTCAAGTATTAAACTCAAGCACAATGTTGAGGTACTTGTACTTAACCTGAGTATTCTTAGTTTAAGCTACCCTGTACTTTTACTCCACTACATTTAAGAAGCCAATATTGTACTTTTTACTCCACTTAATTAATTTGACAGCTTTTTGTAACTAGTCACTTTTTAGCTTCAGAAAATTAGCTAACTTAATTATTAAATACACTTTGACATATATGTATAGGTTAAGATATCCAACACATAAATAATGATAATAATAACTCAATATATGTCGTTCTTAAATGGGCCATTATGCATAAGGAGTACTTTGACTTTGAATGCAGGAATTTTACTTAAGAAACAAATATGAGTATTTCTTCCACCTTTAGTTAGCAGAAGAATGTGTGACGCATAGTATTTCTTTCAAATAAGGTGTGTCTCTCATTTACCAACATATGAGCTGACTCCTCTACTTGTCAAATGCATTGAGGCGACTAATTAAGTTAGTAAAAAACTCAAAATAGGGACAATGCTCATTAATTAACACGAGTGCATCGTCTAAATGTGCCAGATTTAGCCATAGACGCTCATTTCCATCTGCAGGTTGTTGGCATTAAAAGAAAACATACAATAGCATATAAGCAAAGAAAAACACATGTGAAGTGCACAGTTTAAAGCCCCTTTTTAAAACATGCAACAGACCAAAGTCTCAAATGTGCTTAATCAAATAGAGAGACTATCAGAGTCAATCTCTCTCTCTCTTGGAGTCAATCACATTTTTTTGCATTTGCTCTAATTTCATGGAGCTTTGATCTGAAAGGGTGATTACTTAACTCCCTGAATTCACAAAGTAGATAAGAAAATTAGGTTGATCTTGTACAAGAAGCGTGGCAGAGGTTGTTTCCACTCCATTTTGAAAAACACTCAGACAACGGAAACTAGCAACACTGCATTTTTCTATGAAGCCCATAAAACACACATCCTCCTCCTCACACACTCAACGACGAGCACCTGTCTTAACCAGTAACTCCTCTACACACATATGACCTATTTTGGACTATAGTAAACAACTCACTTCCACAACACATCGTGAAGTAGGGTATATGCCAACAATCAGGTATTAGTAAACCGTAGCCACTTATATCTACATCTGTGTGCTGCTTTACCCTGAAAGCAAGATCCAGTGAGTCCTTGAAGACAGTTGAGCGATGTGAAGTGCACTTTCCACATCTTGTATTTCTTGACCGAGCACATTCAGTTACAGATCTTAATGGTGACCTATTACGCATTTGGCAGCATGGCTTCATTACATTACATTTAGCTGACGCTTTTATCCAAAGCGACTTACAATAAGTACATTCCACCAGGAAGACACAACCTTGAAGAAAACAGAATCATAAAGTACATCAGGTTTCATAGAGCCAAACATTTCAAGTGCTACTCAACTGGCTTTAGATAAGCCAGTCCTTTATTAGTATATAAGTGCTTTGTTAATAGTTCTATCGCTCAAAGTGGAGTCGAAAGAGATGAGTTTTCAGTCTGCGCCGGAAGATGTGTAAGCTATCTGCCGTCCTGATGTCAATGGGGAGCTCATTCCACCATCTTGGAGCCAGGATAGCAAACCCACGTGTTTTCGCCGATGGGAACTTGGGTCCCCCTCGCAGCGAGGGCGCAACGAGTCGTTTGGCTGATGCAGAGCGTAGTGCACGCGCTGGGGTGTACGGTTTAACCATGTCCTGGATGTAGGAAGGGCCAGATCCATTCACAGCATGGTACGCAAGCATGGAAGGTGACAAGGAACAGGATTTCCACTTATGTCACATCCCAATTCCATTACAGATTTGAAAACAAATGCCTTTCCCATGTGTTCATTTTTGAACTGCATCCAAACAGGATGACATCCCACTTTCTGCTAGAAACCTTCACACGAATCGTCAACACGCCATGTCTAGTTGAAATAACTATTTTCTCGTACTTCTTTTCAGGATGTTACTAAAAATGCTTCTGGGCGTCCTGTGCTGTGTCGGAGCCTTCGCCACAGAGAACATCGCGGAGCAGCTGAGTCCTCCTCAGCTGCTGCTGGTGTCTTTCGATGGTTTCAGAGCGGACTACCTGCGGAGGTTCCCCATGCCCAACCTGAAGCTCCTGTACAGCCAAGGGATCCTGGTGGAGCAGCTCACCAACGTCTTCATCACCAAGACCTTCCCCAATCACTACAGCCTGGTAACCCCGCTGCTGTTGTGCTTTTTGTGTCGTGAACATTTTCTGTCAGAGAGTGTGATAAAGATGCACTTTCATATGTGCTTTTTATCAATCAAGTAAACATTTAAACCAATTATAAGAAAGACTTTAATATCAAATAGCATAACAGTTGTCTCACTGGTCCCCGGCTTGAGCTTCAACCTCAGGATCCATGTATTTCTGATCCTCTCCAGAATGGAAGGAGTCATCACATACAGAGCATCAACTAGTTCCTGAGCAGTGTCCTTCACATGCTGATATCCAAGAGAGGGAGTTACACAGTCACAAGATGGAGGAATAGAAAGCAGTATTCAATGTTTACTTCAGATTATCTCCACGTCAGAAATGAGCATGCTTGATGTCTCTCTCCATAGAGGCTGAATCATCATGTTAATCACAGAGCTATCATCTGCCTCAAACAGTCCTGATGCTCTTCTAGGTAATCACACATCCTGTCATGTTCACAGCTGCAGTTGATACCTTTGTTATCATGTGGACTCTGACATTGGAGGAGGACATTCAGTATTTTCCCAACAACAGTGAATTATAGGATCATAACAAAAGCAATAGTAATGGTCTTTGTTTTCCTCTCCAGGTGACAGGGCTGTACGCTGAGTCTCACGGTATCCTGGCCAGTAACATGTACGACCCCGTCAGCCACGAGCACTTCCACATCAACAACGACTCCAACCCCATGTGGTGGAACGAGGCTCGGCCCCTCTGGATCTCAGCACTGGACTCCGGATACAAGACGGCGGCCATGATGTGGCCCGGCTCCGACGTGACTATTGGAAACCGCACAGCGACACACTTCCTTCCCTACAACCCTCAAGTGACGTTCAAGCAACGAGTGGGGAACGTGACAAAGTGGATGTTAGGGGACAAAAAGGTAGGAACGTTTTTGTTTATCAAACTCGCTGATTAGTGTAATTTATAACATTTTCAATGTGTGTCGTCTAGAAGGGTTATTATCCATGGTCTGACTTGCTTTACCTTAAACCAAATTCCCTCAGGAGAAAGGAGTGATGTTTGCAGCGCTCTACTGGGAAGAACCGGACCGCTCGGGTCACATCTTCGGCCCTGACAACGACACCGCCATGAGCCAAGCCCTGAAGGAGGTACAGTCATTGGGACACACTCAATATTTCAAAGAAGCTCACTTGATTCTGACACAAAAGGTTCCTGAAATCTTATGAGATCTATTGAACCAGAGAAGCTTGATGGATGCAGCAGGTGATGTAACATATAGTGATGAAGATACCACAAAATATGGAAATGCATTGTAAAAAATGACCTTACAGTGACTCGGCACACTTGAGTGTTAATCAGATCTCCTTTCACTTCAGATTAGCTGGATGGAAACATGTATTGATTGATTGTTATTCCACAGGCGATAAGACTGTTAAACACCTGCACTTTTGATAGAGCATCCATAACATTCATCTGTTAGCAACTTACAAATGATGTATCTAATATATCATATTCCATTTACTTGTATATAGACTCTTCTTGCACTATTTCTATTTGTATTTACTTGCACTATTTATCTGTTTAATTGTGTTGCACTGTTGGAGGAGCCTGTGATTTAAGTTTTTCCCTGTGCTATATACGAATGACAATAAAAGCCTTGAATCTTTATGTGCGATCAGGTTGACGATCAATGACCTTACAGTGACACTTGAGTGTGAATCAGATTGGCCCAGATCTTCTTTCACTTCAGATTATCCGGATGGAGACAGTCATTGACGTGTCTTTGTGTGTGCGATCAGGTTGACGACAACATTGGCCTGCTGATTTCTGAGCTGAAGACAACCGGGCTCTGGGATCGCGTCAACATCCTGATAACCAGTGACCACGGCATGACGCAGTGCTCGGCCCAGCGCCTCATACAGCTGGACAACTGCCTCCACCCCGACAACTACACACTGGTGGACCTCTCTCCTGTCACAGCCATCATCCCACTGAAAGGTAGCCAAGTTCACGTCTGCTATATATATATTAGGGCTGTCAAACGATTACAATTTTAATCAGATTAATCACAGTTTAAAAATGTATTAATCAGATTAATCACCATTCGAACTATGTCCAAAATATGCCATTTATTTATGTATATTGTTGTGGGAATGGAAAGATGAATGAAAGAAGGCGGATATATCCATTTAACACACAGTATCTATGTTTATTATAAGATTGTTCTGTGTGTCAAAATGAAGGATAACCCACACACCTATCAATCATCAAACCGTGGGGTCTTAATTCATTACGTGTTGATTTCTATCAACGGGGGAGTACTTCAGGAAAGTCGACAGAGGGCGGCTAGTGGAGTACTTCGTGACCACATAGTGTGAACGTTGTGATCAGCTGTTTTAGCGCAGTTCTCCAGTGAAGGGGGGGAGTCTCCCTCCGCAGCCGGTTGGCGTAGTTTTGGCACAGTTCCGTTGTACAGACCGACGTTAACAGCAGCCCTGTCTGTGCACACGGAGACCGACTCTGTCGTCCGGTGATCTAACCGCCTTCTGGAAAAGCTTCACAAGTACGTCGGTACGCAAATGCGCTTTGTGACACAAGTGACGGTACGCATTTCAGATTACGCACATAACCTGCGTACCAGTTAGTGCACCCCTGTACTACAGCAAAAGTATTCTCCGTCGGGACTTCCTGCAACAACACCACGCCGTTATCAAAGATGTTCTATTGAGAAGACGATCACTACGTGACAAAAGTTTTCAAAACCGTGGCTGCTGAAATCAATCTGACTAACTGCTGTCTGTGCAATTTACTCCGCGAGTTGGCAGACTTTATTTTGCTTCCTTTAACATCATTTTTCAAGGTTTAAGTCATTTCTTGGTATGGGTGTAGCCTACCCCAGCCATACCCTGGCGCTGCCACTGGTGGCACGTATGGGGCGGGCCATTCTGCACATGCGTTAAATGCGTTAAATATTTTAACGCAATTAATTCAAAAAATTAATTGCCGCCGTTAACGCGATAATTTTGACAGCACTAATATATATATATACAAATGTATTTATTAGGATAAACCCCTTGAGATGCACCATCTGGTTTTCAAGGGGGTCCCAACAAAAGCAACGTCTTACAGACAGACATGAACAAAATAACAGAAAGCAAAGCATGACAAACAAGGACAAACCACGTACCGTCTGTTAAGTAAAAAGCACGAAGTAATACATCCAATCATTACAATTTGATAGACAGTCGTCTCTAATAGATCAGTTTCATCAATAACAAGAGCAGAGCAGCTGAACGTGAGATGATAATGCTTAAACATACCCAATGATGCAAGAGATCTGATAGTAGCAGGTTTAAACATGAACGCTCTTCTGACAAATGTTATTCTAGAGATATTTGCTCACACTAATTCCCTTTCTCTGTGCTTTGCAGATCCAGAGGCCGTCTTCAAACTGCTGGATAAGTGCCACGAACACATGAAAGCTTATAAGAAACCCGACATCCCTGATAGGCTGCACTACAGGAACAATGACCGCGTCCAGCCAATCATATTGATCGCTGACGAGGGCTGGACCATAGTGCTGCGAGGCGACGAGCTACCAAGATGTATGTCTCTTTAATTGTTTGCTTTGAAAGGCGGGGCAAGTTTATCTATATAGCCCATGTTGACACAAGGAAACTAACGGACATTTAAAGACAGTTGTTAAAAAGCCAAGAGAATACATATGGAACAAGTAGACAGGTATATAGATTCTTCCTCACACACACTGTCAAACATACATAAAACAATACCATTTACAATGCTATATGAAGTGAAAACTAAAATGGTCATCCCATTTTGAACCCTGCTTCTCCATGTTTAGTTTCTCTAACTCTCTTTCCTTTTCCCTTAGTGGGCGATCACGGCTACGACAACTCCCTACCCAGCATGCACCCCTTCATGGCCGCGTCGGGCCCCAGCTTCCGGCAGGGTTATCGAATCAGCAGCTTACAAAGCGTGGACATTTACCCGCTGATGTGCAAACTGCTGTCGCTGCCGCCGCAGCCCAATAACGGCACGATGACCCGCGCTCGCTGCCTATTGGCTGCTGAGAGCTGCTGGGATGTCCCATTGGTCATCGGCCTGGTGGTGGGAGTCCTGCTGATGCTCACTGCTATCACTGGTAAGTCTGTAAAGTAACCACTATTTAGACTTATTCCTATAAATATGTATAAAACAAAAAACACCTTGAATTTCAGGGGGGCTCCGTTGGCGGGGCGCACTGTCAAGTAACTTTAATCTAAGCTGTTCTTCCTTGCCTCCGTCCGACAGTTTCAATATGTCGTCTTCCTCACGCAAAAAGGCGTCTGCTGCACCGGATCCAAAAGCTAATAGTGCTAGCCCGGCTAAAGGTGCTGAGGCAGAGCCGCTAGCGCATCACAAGGTGATGAGGCCGCCATTCTACAGGCCATTCAATCTCTCAGAGAAGACCTGCTGAAGGAAATTGATGACAACGCCGAGATGCAGTCTAAAGAATTACGACGTGAAATAAGCCAACTGAGGGACGAGCTGAGATCCGCCATTGACCGCGTCAGCAGCCGCACCAAGGCTTTGGAGGACCGGGTCGAGAGCCTGGATACTGCCGCTAATGATCACTCGGACCTCATTACCACTCGAACGAGACGTGCAGCAGCTAAAAAAGGACATAAATCTTCTCTGACAGGAGTGAGGACCTGGAGGCGCGGTCTAGGAGGGGCAACCTCCTAGACCGCGCCGGGAGGCAGGGAAGAACCCAACAGACTTTGTAGCTAAACTACTCCAGGAAACGCTGGGCTTAGAAAAAGAGCCACTACTAGACAGATCCCATCGCACCCTACGGGAACGGCCCCAGGAGGACCAGCCACCCCGCGCCTTTGTGGTGAGATTTCACTATTACCGGGAGAAGGAAGCGATCCTCCGCAAGGCAGCCACGGCCACAGATCTGACAACGTCGCACGGAGACAGGATCAGAGTTTTCCCCGACTACACCCAAGCAGTCGCAAAGCAGAGAGCTGCCTTCAGGGATGCGAAAGGCATGCTCAGAGGCTGTGATGGTGTCAAGTACGGAGTAGAAACCACTTAGTAGAAAATATCACTCGAACAACCCTGTAGTCAATAGCTCTCTTAGGATATGGTCACAGTTCAGGAGGCATTTTGGATATAGCAAATCGCAATCCGGCTTTCAAACCAGCCCTGATAGACTCTGCTTTCCACCTGTGGTCCCGGAAGGAACTTAAGTGTGTTGCTGATCTGTTCTACGAAGGGGTATTCACATCCTTTGAACATTTAGTCAAAGAATATGACATCCCAAGGAATCATTATTTTAGATATTTACAAATTCACGATTTTGCAAGAAAACAATTTCCCTCCTTCCCGGCCGCCCCACCTGATGGATGGATGGAAGACTGCCTTGGCCTCAAACCTTGTCAGGGAGGCTATATCTTAAAGCTATAGAATATTATTCAAGACATCTCTAGCCCCTCCCTTAACCACCTTAGGGGTGCCTGGGAATAAGAAATGGGCATAGAACTAACCGATGAGACCTGGCGGTCTGCGACTGACATACATAAATCCTCCGTCTGTGTGAGGCATGGAGTACTTCAATTTAAAGTGTTCCATCGATTACATCTGTGCAGGAGCAGGCTTGCCAGGCTGTACCCTAATGTCGATCCCACATGCCAGAGGTGTCATGGTGCTACCCTATTGCACATGTTTTTCTCCTGTCAGTCCATTGCCCCATTTTGGTCTTCTATATCTGAAACGTTTTCATTGATGTATGGCCAGAACATACCACCAAATCCCATAATAGCTGTGTTTGGAGTAGCCCCTGAGGGGGTCTCCCTCTCTAATTGCCAGTCACACTCACTTGCGTTTGCAACCCTTCTTGCCTGCCGTCTAATCCTCCTCAAATGGAAAGACCGGACTCCACCATCTCACGCCCACTGGGTGAGGGATGTGATGGCACATTTGCAGTTGGAGGAGCTGAGGTATCGTAGCCAGGGACGTGTTAACAAATACTACAAGCTCTGGCAGCCTTTCCTTGACTATTTTAACAAACTCCCCTGTGCCAGTCTGACTGCATGAAGCAGTCGACCTTCCCTTTTAATTTACTGTTTATTTTATTGGATTGCATTATTTATTTTATTTTAAGTGCATCTCTGTGGGTGTGTATGAATATGTGTATGTTTTTGCAATGACATTTTTATTTGTGGTACGAATGTAATTCAATTCAATTGTATAATTACACATCTGCATTTTCATGTGCCCTGTTCTGTTTTGATATAAGTGAAAATCAATAAAGAAAGGTGGAATAATAAAGTTGTCATATTTTATAGAATGATCAAGTTCTTACAAGATTCAAGGCTTTTATTGTCATGTCCACATAGCTGCATAGCTTAGGTCACAGCAATACAACTGATCAAAACAGTTTTTACTAGTCACCAAATTTCCCAGAAATAATAATCTCCAGCTCCACATCATTTTTTATTTTTCTTTCACTGCAATATACTCATAGCAATTTATCTTCTCTGCTTTGAGCTCATTATCTGAATCAGACACTAATCCAGAAGGTCAAAATGGAGGTTTAAAATAGGTGCAAATGGGATATTGTTAATGAAATCAACTTGTCTGTGAATCTGTCTGACTTTACTAACGGGTCTCCTTCCTCTTCAGTTCTCTTCAGGTACCTGAGCTCCCGTCGCCCTCCAGGCTCTCGTCCCTTCCAGAGGCTTCAGGTGGACGACGATGACGACGACGACCCCATGTTGGAGTAACCGGACATCTGTCATGTTCCCGCTTTTAGAGGTACTTTACAGAACATGTTGCACTTTACGCCCTGTGTGTGTTGTCCATGTGCCCGTACACACACACACACACACACACACACACACACACACACACACACACACACACACACACACACACACACACACACACACACACACACACACACAGTAGAAAGCCTGCTGGTTTAAAAACAGCTGTAGGAAATGCTACTGTTGTCATTGAACGTCCATAATGTTACATATACTTGAACATGTGGCAAAAAGCCCACACACACACACACACACACACACACACACACACACACACACACACACACACACACAGTAGAAAGCCTGCTGGTTTAAAAACAGCTGTAGGAAATGCTACTGTTGTCATTGAACGTCCATAATGTTACATATACTTGAACATGTGGCAAAAAGCCCACACACACACACACACACACACACACACACACACACACACACACACACACACACACAGTAGAAAGCCTGCTGGTTTAAAAACAGCTGTAGGAAATGCTACTGTTGTCATTGAACGTCCATAATGTTACATAGACTTAAACATGTGGCAAAAAGCCCACACACACACACACACACACACACACACACACACACACACACACACACACACACAGTAGAAAGCCTGCTGATTTAAAAACAGCTGTAGGAAATGCTACTGTTGTCATTGAATGTCCATAATGTTACATATACTTGAACATGTGGCAAAAAGCCCACACACACACACACACACACACACACACACACACACACACACAGTAGAAAGCCTGCTGATTTAAAAACAGCTGTAGGAAATGCTACTGTTGTCACTGAACATCCATAATGTTACATATACTTGAACATGTGGCAAAAATCCCACACACACACACACACACACACACACACACACACACATACACACACACAGTAGAAAGCCTGCTGATTTAAAAACAGCTGTAGGAAATGCTACTGTTGTCACTGAACGTCCATAATGTTACATATACTTGAACATGTGGCAAAAAGCCCGTTTTGTTGTGATGTGTAATTTATTTAGCTGAAATATTGAGGATTTGTTCTGGTAATGGCCAGTGAGATTAATCACTTCATTTTGGAAAATGTAAAGGATTGAAGAGGTTTATTTTATATTTTTCTGGGGTGTGTTTTATTTTTGTTGTTGGTATGTGTAATGTTGCGTTCTGCCAGCAGGGGGGGCCAGTCGCTCATGTGAGATGTAAACTGTGCATCACTGATATCACTTTTTCTTGAAGACTGAATGTTTTCTGCTAGTTTCAGTTATTTTTGAATGTCTCTCTGCGTGCACTGTTACTGTTTTGGTTTATTTGTTACACTGAATCTGGAAGAAATCTTAATATCACTAAAATGTTACTTTTGTCAATACTTGCATGCTTCAAAACTGAACATTTTCATCTGAAATGACTGAAATATAGTGTATTCGGTAACAAATGCTAGTTAGAGGGGGATTTCAATGCAAATGATTCACTAGATATCAATACAACAGGTATACAAATGATACCAAAGACTATCCTTTTATTAAGATGCACAATGAATGCTTCAAGGGGGATAGATATATTGATCTTAAAAAGGGATTTCTGCCATAAATGGTTATTATAAGAATAAGGTCCTTCGTTAACATGAACACATTTGAGTTTTTGTAATTGATTGATTTAAAGCCTCATTTCGAGCCTTCAACAGCAAAGGGATGGTCGTTTCATGGCATTTATTATCAATACCTACAAAAATATCCATACTCTCATACTTTAGTGCAGTGCCACTCGCATGCTTCCAACCTTTTATCCATTAAGTCTGCAACTCACGGTCATTTTCTTCATTCACACATCCATAATATCTAGAAACATTTGTAAAACTGTGATAAAATGTCCATTTCAGTTTCTCAAAGTCCACATTTTTGTCTTTTAATGCCTTGTTTGGTTCATAAAACCCAAATAAAATCAATTTATAATGTGAGAAATGCAAAAAATCTCCATATCTGAGACACTGAAACAGCATTTCCTGCCATTTTAGCATGAAAATGAATTTAAAAGTGAATTGATTATCAATTATTTGTTTTCTATTTGTTAATTAATGGATATCTTGCAGCTCTAATGTATCTCTAAATATACTGTTTGTATAAAACGCTCATGAATATTTAACAATATGCGGGTAAGTATGCCTTTTTCTGCGGGAATAAGTGGAAGACATCCAGATTTATTATATTTATTTTGTGTTTTTAAATGCTTCATGTAAGCTGCTTTTTGCACTCTTTACCCGTGTTCACTTTAGTTTGTTTTAAAAATGGCACTATGCGAATGTAAAAAGGATTCCTGTTGCTTAATGACATTTAAAATAAATAATGCTGGTTGGATTTCAGACTTTTTATGTATATGTTTTAACCCTCCTATTGTCTTCGTGTTCCCCCCCTTACTTTGGTGTTCGCGGTCAAATTTGACCAGTCCTGTTTTAACTGCTATTACATTAACACAAAAACCATTAATCATCACCACATGTCATTGAACACCCTTTCAAACTGTACATATTGTATCAGACTACTGGTATACATGAAAAACTGCAGTAAATATACAAAGAATAGACACTGAACATGTATTGCGTGTGCCAGGTGTGATCCATGTGGGGGGAGGGGCACATAAGAGCGGGAAATGTATCAAATTGTTCTCTGTGTGTGTGTGTGTGTGTGTGCCAGGTGTGATTCACATGGGGGATGGGCACATAAGGGGGGAGAACACATCTAGAGTAGCCTGTGTGTGTGTGTGTGTCCTAGCATTACCATCCTTGTGGGGACCTACATCTGTTTACAGTCACGTGTGGGGACTGGCTTCCCTTATGGGGACAAAATTGAGGTCCCCATGAGGGGAGTCATTAATTTTAGGGTGAAGACTTGGTAAGGGTTAGGGTAAGGGTTAGGCATGTTATGGTTATGGTTAAGGTTAGGATAAGTGTCCAGGAAATGCATGTAAGTCAATGTAGTGTGGTGTGTGTGTGTGTGTGTGTGTGTGTGTGTGTGTGTGTGTGTGTGTGTGTGTGTGTGTGTGTGTGTGTGTGTGTGTGTGTGTGTGTGTGTGTGTGTGTGTGTGTGTGTGTGTGTGTGTGTGTGTGTGTGTGTGTGTGTGATTGTATATGTTCAAATGTCTAATGTGAAGGATATCATAATAAAGCTTTAATGCAATCGAATGTAAAACAAAAAAGTTATGATTGATGAAAGTAGTAAATCGGTCAGATTTGACCCGAAGACAACAGGAGGGTTAAAAAAAAAAAACTTGCATTAAATGTATTTAAATGGAAAGAAAAAAGCGACACACATTTGGAAAAATTAATTTATATTCCTTTATATATTTTTTTTCTCCATTGCAGTCACAACATTACAATGTAATAAAATGGTAAATATATAAAATCAAACTCAATACTGACGCATAAACATTTCTTTATCGTGTTCAAAACCAAATGAACTATACATGTATTTATATCTGTTTGTTAAAATCTGTCATTTCTATGTAGTCTGTATTATTGTAAATCTCTGTCTCTTCACAGATAAATAGACTTTGTTTTCAGGAGGTATTGTAACAAAAATAACACATTTCCTAACGCTGGCCACAGAGAGCCATTGAAAATATCATTCAACTCTTTCCCAGAATGCATTAACATGGTAAGTAGACACATAAATCACACGAGAGATGCACGCCTTGGTTTCTCTCACGTTTCTTTTGTGGTGGGTCGGAAAAGCATTCGCTGTGAATTGAGGAATCGAAGACCAGAAGATTCCTGAATGGTGTTTTTGATGAGCGGACGCAGGAGCGGTTTGAACACGGTCGGTGACAATCATTTCTACGGAGAAGACGGGAGACGTTAGCCAGACAGACGAGCTGGAATATGTGCTTATGTATTGAACTGTGAGGCATGAAGCTGCAAATATGACCATCTTACTTATTTAATCACATTTAAAGTCAGAAATGTCCATCTTAACAAATATAACTCCTTTTAATTATCTTTCGGTAAGTTAGTTGGGTTAATTTGTCTACTTTCGATATATTTGACCTACTTCCAAGTGAATAAAGGGTTAAAATGGGTGCTAAACAAAATAACAAATGGAAAGAACACCTCAGGGAATTTGGAAAATACACTTATGCACCTTAATGCCAAGATTTGGATAATCATTTTGATACCACTCTCATTAATGTACACTTAATATGAAGAGATGGTAGTTAGCTTAGCTTAGCATAATGACTGGAAGTAAACGGAAACAGCTAGCATGATGCTTTTACATTGGACAGATTTAGCTGGTTGTTTACCCTTCTCCCCCTTTTTGTGCTAAGCTAAGCTAACAAAGGTTCAGATATAACAGTGGTAAACATTATTGAGCACTTGTCTCATACACTTAAAGCACAATATAAGGAGTTAAAGTGGACATTTTTAACTTTAAATACATGTTCAAGTCTTCACCGATCCTTGTGATGATGGTCTTTCTTTGCAGAATAGTAAAAACCCCTTTTGTGTTTATCAGGA